TGCCGTACCTAAGTCTGCATTGAATTCTGTTCCCCTAGATTTATAAACAATTTTGCCTTCTTTGAAATTTTCATGTCAGTTCAACATGTTATTGAGGAACCAGCGTCAAGTTTAATTTTAACTGGCAAGTGATACTAATCTGTGGGGTCAAAGGTAATCATTTTATCATGACAACATTGGTAAAAATTGTGCGTCTTGTCATTCCGTCTCACTCGTTCTACTTTATGCAGACAGAGTAAGGAACATCAAATGCTAAGTGTTGCCGTTTGCCGCCGCCCACTCGCAAGTAATGTGGTAGTATATCGTCGACTTGTATTGCCTCTGTGTGCGTACGTCAGTGGACGTGTGTATGCAGAAGGTAACTGTTGTCCGCAGTAAATATTGCCATGAAGACATATATAATGGTTTTATTACGATGGCATGTTTGTGTAAGTTAACTGTCTCATAAAGGCTCCATTGCAATCGGTTTAACCAAATAGGTTATCAATCGTTTTTATGAAGATTCTATCAACTTCTAAAATTGAAAATTTTATTATTTATCATATTCATACATTACAGATAATAGTTTTAGTTTCCAGCACAAGATTCTTCGTCCTTGACATTCTAAAGATACTTACTATACACTTCAAAGTACCATATAAGAAAAAAAACAAGTGAGGCGCTTAGCAACAGCCGTGTGACATAAGTTCAACACGCGCAATCCATAATAATGCTGACGTTCGCGGAAGTAGACAGTGGCGACCAGCGACCACACCACACACGGTGTACACGCACTGCGGCCGCGCCGATAACTGTGCCGTTATACTTTGCCGAAATTCTAACAAGCAACCCGTATGCTCGCTACTCTGCAACTATAGGATTTCTGACACTGTTTACAAACACACTTATTTTTAGGGGACTATTTCTGTTGAGCCAACTATTTACTGTTTTAACGGCGCAATGATTGACCATTTGACTCCCAGGTAAACGAAATAATTCACCCCAAAAAACGAAACGCATCTAGTGACGTCACACGCCAAAAATGCAGTAGCGAAGTGCACGGCCGGGGGCGGTCGCACGCGCAGCGCACCGTCACATCATCCTCGATTGTTTACCCCGCTAGTAACGTAACCGCGCGTTGTTGCCGCTCCGCGTCTCGCCTCCTCTCACTTTCGCGATTGCCGCTGTCTTGCTTACGTCGCATACATCTGTCCCGCTCACTCGACTAGCGGTGTTCGACTTTTTTGGACATGCAGTTTTTTTCCGTTCTAGGTTATGATCGCTTTACGGGATCATTGTTTTAAAGAAAACTGTTTATTCAATAAAAAATACTCATTAAAAAATAGTAGGGCTTTATTGCCCTACTATTTTAACAATCTATACTGAAAAAATATTTCAAAAATTGAATGATGTAGATTGTTGTGCGTGTGCTTAAACTAAATCAAAGTGTATATGCCCGAATATGCAGATGATGCAAACGATTTCAACGGAAGGACATACCGACTCCAATAATGGTTTGAGTCGACGAAGAAAATAACAGACTGGAAGGAAACAATACACACATGTATTCTGTTATCCCGCGGCACCTTCTGATTCTGATTTGATTGTAGACATAAGCAAAAACCAAAACATAGTAACTGGATAAAATAAAAAACTGCATGTTAAAGCCGTGCCCTCATTTGACTTAAAACTTTTCAAAGGCTTGCATTTAGTGACGTAACGCCGCTTCTGAATCGGGTACCGTCGCTGTTTTCCGGAAAAGCCATGGCTTTCGACCAGCTTCATCCGGGGTGTTATCGTCGAGCTAGTCGTCCATCCGGCGCTCGTTTCGCATTTTAAATTCAAATAACCACAGATTTTTCCCGACGAACTTGCTCTAGCCAGTGCAGTATGCTCTTTGTCGAGGAATAATTTTGCGTAATATCTACAAAACGATTTAGTGAGATCTCAGCAAGTTACTGCATCTTTTGAATTTTCATTGTGATCCATTGACCTGAGTGTGGGTGTATTGGAAATACATTAGCGACTCGTTTACACCATGTTTTATTGATGAGTTCCTTTGCTCACTTACTCGTGCATACATTAGGAGTGTACTTACTCGATTGCTTTAAGCTTTTATTGCAAACATTACACCTAATGTCTGGAATTCTGGGTGTCGTTATGGCATCGACCTCTTTAGTATATTTAAGTAGTAACTGTGAATTACAGTATTAATAAATTAAAGACAATTCAATAAACAAATTAATGTAAAGTGAAGACAAGTCGTCACGTCGCACAATAGAAAGTGAAGCGGGCTGCGCGGGCGCATCGGGCGCGTTAGAAAGCGGCCACTGCCGGCCGGCCCCGGCGCCGCCCGAACGAACATTCACGACACCGAGCTTGACGCATTCCTCCATACATATGTACTCAAGAATGTTATCCAACTACTTATTGTACACAGCTCCTCAATAAAGCTACAAGTAATATAATGGATTGCACTATTGCTCTTGAACTAATGCTCATAAATAGCAGCTCCGTGCATACCATAAAACGATTTAATATACGCTTATTATATTTCAATAAAATCCTAATTGCTATGGCTAATAAAACTGCAATAAAACTTCCGTGGTATAGCCCGCCATAAACTGCTGACTTGTATAATTTTATATCTAAACATCGTTTAGTACGCGTGTTTTAAGTATCGAACAATAACCCCTCATTTAGAAGTTAACACTAAACTCGTTTGGAGTTACAGTCCTCCCCTTATCGCGTTAGGTCGATGCGACCCCACGCGACACCTCTGCCAGGTGCGTTTAGCCCCTTCCGCCGCAGATGTGCGTTTCGTGAAAATTGTACAATGAACTGTTGACTTTATTACATTAAATTAAGTAATACGGTTCCAATTTTTCCTAGTTAACAAGAATTATCCTTTACAAAAATATGATTTTAAAGCCAAATGAGGTCATATTCGACTACAAAAATAATTGTGATAAGTCCTCGGATACCTACCACCAGTAGCTAAACAGATAGCCAGTTGTTTACATTAAAACAAATATCAGTTTACGTAATGACTTATATTTACGTTCAACTTACTGCCCATTAAAACTGAACCAAGTTTACTGTGTGTCGTTTTATGTTTATTTAAATGACCAGAATCTGAGTGCCTCCGACCGCGAGCCGTAAAGGGTTGGAAGCTTTTGGGAAGCACTGTTTAAACAATTAACATATTTGTTTATATTTGAGGTTACCTACATTTAAGTTTCCGTCCTCGCTATGAGAACTTTAGCTTTTTAAATATAGCTTTTCAAAACTTCAAAGCATCCTTATTTGCAATGATGGGACTTGTTTTTCCTCAAACTTGTTCCAAAAATCTTAAGAACGATAATAATGAAAGTGAAAACTTCAACGATGTGAAAAACATAGGAGCGCTAAAGACGGCCAGTGTCCAGTGAGGGTCGATGGGTGTTTGACCCGATAAAATATTTGCATACCCAAGGTCGCAATACCACCTGCCGCTTGTACTCACACTTAGCCGTGCAATTGACGCTCACTAATGGCGCTGTGAATGGGAAACTAATTGGATACTTGCTCATTTTAGGGTTAGGTGTGAAAAATAGTTTAACTTTCTTTGTAAAATTATGGGAAACTTAATGGAGTCAATGAATTCGTGTGACCATCCAGTTATAATGTAATATTTACTCAAATCGTGACTCGTTCTAAGTTTCTCAACCACATACGCCATGTTGATATCCTAAGCATAACATTTACTGACCAGAGACATGGAAAATAGCCTTTTAATTGACATTCCATGTAAATATTTCCAACTAACTGAGCCCGCGACTTCGTCTGCGTTGAATAGTGATTCACAGCTCTTCCCCTGTAGTTGATAGCATGATAATACGTAGCCTATATGTTGACCCCAACCTATTAGTAATATTCATGCAAAATATGAAATAACTCCATGCAGCACTTTTTGAGTTCATCACGGACATACATACAGACAAACAGACAAAAATTCTAAAAACCATACTTTTGGTTTCGGTACCTACTGTAGATCACGCCCTAAGCATTCAAAAAGTTAGCAAAGTTTTCTCTTTCCTACGATTTTATTATATGTATAGATTCACAGATCAAACAAAAAAGAAAAGTGAAAGTAACTCGTTATGTCCATCGCAATATTCTTAATTAATTTGAACCGTTTATTTTTACATCAGTATTATTATTTGCTTTAAAATTTCCTCTACTACAGCTACAGCTGATGTCGATAAATACACTTAAAATATTACGCGTATATCATCAACATGAATTGGCCAATGAATGTTTATTATAACAGTATTTATGAAAGGTTTTTACCCATAATAGCGGACACAGGTGCTGCGGATGTCGCTTCACGGAGCGTTTTAATAAAATTCTCGTGTTCATAAAATGTGTTAATAATAATCGCGTTGACGCTAAGTTTTCTCTCAATAACTTTATCAAACGAGGAACGATACTCATTACCTACACGTGTCGTGAATACAAAAACAGTTCGATAATATCTACGTATTAAAAGTATCATAATGTAATAATGTGAAGCTATATAAAAAATCTTATATCGTTGTTAAGTCCCATGCAAAAGCTTCCAGAGATAGCAGAGTTTTCCAACTTATAATTCGTGGCTAGTAAAGCAGCTTCCTGGTCCGCCGCAGAATACCTCTGATCTTGCACCTCTGTCCCCCTGGACTCTTGCCAGATACAATTTTAGAACAATTTCGAGGTCTGTACAGTTTTCGTCCTGATTACGCGGACGTTTATTGTGGTGCGGTCCATGTTGGCGGGTTTGGCGTCGTGGACATCTTATTGTTTTCGGCACGTTTCAATGTTTTGTTTTGTTTACAAACGCTGATCTATATTGGCACGTGGGTCGTATTAATTATAGGTTACTGCAATTTATTATTATATCTTCAGCATTATGATCTGTGTAAAAGTCATTACGTTTACTCTCTTCTGAAAACCGCTTTGCAAGAAGCTGATGATTGACCTTCTGTTTCTTTCTTTTCCAGACGGAGCTCTATGGCATAAAATGGCGTAAGCTCGTATGGGGGGAGACGAATGGCGGCGGCGACGGGGAGGAAGGTGGCGCGCCGCTGGCTGACCCAGTGATCAGCAGCTATGCGCGCTGCCTAGCTGGCGATATCCTATGCGTGTGGCGGCGGGTGCCGGCGCCGCCACCGCCCGACAATATCTATGAGATAAGCACGCCCGTCCCGCCGCCTCTCTCCCTCCGAGCTGCTAAAGAGCTATGGATATTCTGGTACGGCGAGGAACCTGACCTCAATGGTCTCGTTGCACCAGAATTGATAACAAGCCGTGAGTATTTGATTATTTCTTTAGTGAATAAGCTGTTAAAATATTAATGAAAAATCAAAAATCGACAATAAATTAACACTATCATGAAACATCAGTTCAGGTTTACATGTGTTTATAAAATGTATCAAGCAACACAACAACCATAATCAACGAACACTACTGCATGATGTTCTTATCATGGAAATCTCAATTATTAAACCATGTTTACAATAATGCAATAAAATTAATAACACACTGTAGTTCCTTCAACAAAAATGACAATAAAAATACAAATTACACAGTGTAACATTACGCAATTTGAGTAGATTATCTTGTGAAGACAGGCGACACAATGGCTCAAGTTAACAGCTCGTTAACCAAACCGAGAGACGTTGTATAGCGACAATTAACGGAAAGATTAAGATCTCGCGACGTCAAGCCGACGACAATAGAGAATCCAGGAAGGAACCAGTCTGGAAAGAACGGAGCAAGTAATCAACGTAATGGATGCTCCTTTTATGGAATGCTCCGGAATATATTTGAATTGGAAACTACCTCTCTTTTAAAATTATTAGTTAAGAGAGGGAATTTTAGATGCTTTAGTTACGAAAATAAAAGTTGCTAAATATAGGCTGTTTATGTTCTCAAAAGCTTTGTTGCGAAATGCACACAAAAACAAAGGCTTATTCTATACAGAATTTAGGACTGTATTTCTGAAGTCAATTTCAATATTAATTCGCGTTTACCAGCAGTATTAGCATTCCTCTGAATTTGAAGGATCCCATATTAAAATTCATTAGATAATCCAAAATGCTGAAGTGTCTTAAAATTCACGACATTGCAAATCTATTTTCTTGATTACATTTTAAAGCGTTATGCCCTAAAGTTGTTGAAGGCTAAAAATCTGCTGGTTTACAGAAGTGCGCTATCATAAAATTTCATTACTCGGCCTGATGCTGGTAATCCTGGAGGAAATCTTCATTTATATTTTAGCGGTAGGTCTCTCGCCCATAAGCTCAAGCCTGTGCGGCCGCCCGCCCAATTTACGCCGAAACATGACCTCGATTTCGTCAGCCTTTTTAGTGGGCGGTTCTATGGGACACTTGCCCCTTTCATCTTAAGTAAATTCGTGATGCTTTTCTTTTCCTCGTGTATTCTCGCTCTTTTCAGCTGCGTAGTTTTTATCCTATTTTTCATTTCCAAGCAGATTTAAAATTACTTTGCAAGTTTTCAATACTTTTCGGGCTTTCCTCCCTGTATGGATGTATGCATTGTGTGTTCAAGCTAAGCACTGTGTGTGTATATTTAATCCTTGGTTAGGCATTTTTCCAAATTGCTTTTTATTCCCGAATCGCTCTCCTCCTCCTATTTAGAATGAGTTGGTTAGTAGGAACTTTTTAATTAAACTATTAGGGCTTTGTAACACAAATTAGGTAATAAAATAAACCACACTAGCAAAATGTAATTTAGTAAAATGATATTAGCATCCAAGAAACAGGAAAATATCTGAATGTATAGTTAATTTTATATGACTTAAGTTTGAGTGGCAGTTTATGTCTCTGTTTACGTGTGCGTTTATTAAATTCTATAAACTTGGTTATAGTATTACTTAGGTGTTGCAAAATGAACTGCATCTCTTAATAGTTCCCTTTGCATTGCTCAAAATTCTACAAATCATAATGTTCAAGTGATATCTTCATCTAAGAAAGTGGCAAGATTACAAACATTCTAAGACATCTATCGAATATTTTTCGCTGAGCAATCTCATTCAACAGGTGGTTTTGTTTCACCTCTGGTTTCGTTGAGGGGTAGGAATGACTTATTGAAGTCTCCAACGATAAATTGTAACGATTCCTACACATCTTAACTTTAAGCAATTCCGAACTGTTTTATTTTATCTCTATTTTACTGTTATTTAACAAACAACAACGTACAAACATTGTGTAGTAGTTTACTCATAAATATATTATTGACATTACGTATAAATCTTCATAGTCATTATGCCATTAATTAAATGCTATTAAAATCATGGTAGTCTCATCCAATTGGAAATAGTCATAAAATTACGTTTGTAAATGACTAATACCCCATCACCGTTCTTCGAATGTTGAAGTTTTCCTCCTGTAGGTACTCTCGAATCGAACGGCGCGTGCGCACTACACGGCGCGCCCTCTAGCGGGCAAGTTCACGCGCGACTGGTCGAATACTAAAATAGAACGTGACATAAATCTACATAAACGGTCTTTATTTTGGTCCCCGACCATTGTTTTGGTTTGCCGCTTATGATTATCCACACGGTATCAACCTTTCTGTACCGATACCACTTAGTATGAAGTAATTTGAGTTGTTTTACTTGTGCCACATTGTAAACAAAGTTTACAAAGAAGCATGAAAGAACACTACTGTTTTGAATGCCTTTTGTGTAAATTTTTGGCCGTTGCTTATGATTTTATGTAGCTTTGTTCTACTTCCCCGAAAATTATTTATTTAATACTCTTTGAGTGACATTCTTGTACTGACACCGCTTTGTGTTAATTTTCTTCTGTATGCTAAAGTTGATATAAAATATCAATGAACATTACAAATATTATTTATATTCAATGTATCAGATGCAGTCAAAGTTATTTTTTGTTCTTTGTGTTCATCCGTTTTTCAATGGCAAGGATTTATATTTCTTCACGATCAATCTTTACGTGTACACCTACAGGTCATTGACACTCAATCAGTAGTAGTCTGGTTTGCTTCATAATGTATATTAGCTCTTTATAACCTTCTTGTGTGTCCTCACTTGATGCTAAATGTTCTATCTAATGCATAATGATTTTAGTGCCTAAGACAGCCTTCAAACGAACTCTTCTACATTACTTGTCTTCTCCCACCGAAATCTGGACTTCATCAGAATATATAGTGAATGATGTAAAAGTCCTTCAGCGTTGCATAGTTGGACCTGATCAATATTACACATGGAAACGGCGAAGGTCAAACTGTGATTGTATAATGTGGCATTGACATTGTGCTTCTATAGAGTTTTTAACAGCAATATTACTTTATCCTTGTTTACTATTTAAACCGGTCCGTTTAACTGTTACGGTAATGTGTCTTTTAATAGCAAGGGTTACTTGGGAACGAACTTTTCAAGTGAAATTTTAATAATTTATGGTGCTTTTTGTCGCTTAGTTGTAACTTAACCATTACAAGTTCGTAGCTTTAACTTGGTAATTTGATAGATAATCGGATTATTCTTTCTAAAGGCTCGGTTTCTCGGTAGTCAAATTACGGGGCTTGTACGGGCAGTGGCAGCGGTCGCTAACTCAATTGTTTCAACCTTGCGATTCTATTAGTTAACATACCACTCGATAGGTTGATAGCCGCATGTTAGATAAACAACAGATTATTATTATTGTTTTGCTAATATGTTTGCTACGCGGCCGCGGCATTGTCAAGGACTTTTCCTTTGTTATTTTCAATTTTGCTTTTCACATTGAGATCCTGTTTCTGCAGATCACTCAACTATTTACATTTGTAATTCTTCTCATTTTGAGTCATCTATCTCTTGGTTTGATCCGCTTTTTTCCTTTTTCAATCTTCTCTCCTCGACGTCCTTTCATAAACGTTAAGCTACCAAAGTTAAAGATCATTAACCTAAATCATAATAGAGGTACAACATAACACAATACACTAGTTTCGATCGGATGTACCACGGAGGCGTTAGTCGACAGGAAAAGTTGTGTAATATCGCACCTATGTGCTAAGTAGCAGTAAACGTGTTATCCACTCGGTTACGACCTGCCCGATACAGATGTTAAAAACTGAATGACGCCGCTCGAGACCGTGCCTCCACATCGGAACTCGTTGCTTGTTACTACAAACTACAAACCCTCCGCCAATCAATATCCAATTAAGTTTCCGTAAGGCGTGGAAATTCTATTGCTTACACAGAATTTTCTTCTACCATCTACAGTCCTACACTTATTTATTTACGTTTATCGCTGGGCTTCGAGGTAGAGGCGCCGAGGTTTGCTACAAAATTTCCGCCAAACGAACTTTGCGACTCATTTCCTGAGTAAATGGTTTTGTCATTGCGTTCTTTTTGCACGACTACGATATAAGCAGTAAGAATATTGTCAGTTGTAATGTCGCGGTCCGTGTCTCACAATTGAGTCGAGCGTGGGAAGCCCGTATTATCTGCTACCATTTCTATAGGGTTAAACAACATGTAACATGCTAATATGCAGTAATATACTGACTTACCATCGGTCAAAGTCCTCTTACATGTCCTTGAGGTATCGAAGGAAATGCTTTCAGACCGGCCTCACTGTCATGGCTACTGTGCGAGAGTACATCAGCATGGCATGTGGACGTCGCTTGTTGAAACGTTGCCAACAGTACTAAAGGGCTGATTACGCATCTTGGATGTGAATATCAATAAATTCAAATAATTGTGTCAATATACATGCAAATAGACTGCTGATATCGACACGATTTGTTTGAAAATGTATACTTGTGTCAATAATTTGTTCGTAGAAAAGTTGTTCGGTTTGGCAATTAACTCCAATATAATATACACAGTTGAAGCCAAACTCCCAGAATTAATATTGTCGCACATTTTACGTTTGATTACTCTTGGTTTCCCAACGTATTCGCACATTGATGTCAAGTTATTTTGGAGTTGAAATACTCGGGGATCGTTCTAAATATAAGTCTTATTGCTACGATAAATCTCTCCACGGTCACCCAGTTTCCGCTTATATGGAAACGGGTACCGCAAGGACGTTCCGGCGACGTTAGAGTTTATCATTATTTCGTGTTCAATACGAACGTTCGCCGCTCAAATGTTGCGAAACTCGACTTACTCGTTAAGTCTCATTATTTCTGAAATAAAATGTCCTTCCTTTTTAACAAACTTTTTGGATATATACTCGTGTGCTTACGAAACCAGCATATAAGCAGATTTATTGTTAGCATCCTTACAGCTGGTTTCGCTTGTATTAAAATATGATCAGTTAAGTATTTGACAATGT